TAATCTGCGGTCTCCCATTATTAAATCAAGTACTTTTTTAATATTTTCGTCAGTAGTTGACGTCGAAGGCCTTCCAGAGCGGGGTTCATCTTTCACACTCTCTCTACCACGCTTAAATTCTGCTATCCATTTTTTGACGGATGAATATGACAGAGCACAATCGCCAAATGTACTGACCATGTCATCATGGATGGCTTTTGATGATAGCCCCTTCTTATGGAGGTACTTAATAACGGCACGCTGCTCGATTTGCTCCATTCGCGTAAATTATGTCCGATTACTTTGTTAATAAATTTATAAAATCACAACTAATTATCGCACACGTTTCGAACTTCATATAATGAACTAGTCTGAACTGAACTAAATAATGTGGATAGATTTGATTTTTAGAATTGAACGGATCTGTGTTAGGCCGAGTACTTTTCAATCCACCCTCGTATTATTACGAAAGCTAGAAATGGTTGGTGCCATGACACTTCCACTTAAATGGATATTTTCCTACTTAGCTAACCATAGACAATGTATCGTAATTAAAATATACGAGATAAAATGACGTCCTTCTCACCTGCTTGCAAAGAGAACAAAAATGGCAATCCTCAGTGTTGTGTTCAATATTGTTTCCTCTTTAAATAAATTATATAATTCTAGTCACCGTTCACAAATGTATTATATATGCAGACAATACTTCACTTATTGTAACCAATACGAAGTAAAATAATTCAATATTTAATCATGAAATTGATATTAACAACATAATTGATATCGTGCAACCAGTCTGTTACCACTTTGGCCGTATGTGAACAAGCATTGTCGTGCACAAGCAAGAAATTGTCCAATTTGTGTTCGATGTGACAAGACTATTGGTTTAAGCACCTCTTTACAATATTTTCAGCCATTATAGTGTCCTGTATCCAAACGAGGTTCTTTCTTCCACCAAAAAGAATACCTGCCTACAACATAATTGTACCACTTTGGTATGGATGACTTTTTAAGGGCGTTGAAGCCAGTTTGTACGACTCAAAATCTCCAAACATGTAATCTCCTCGAAACAGGATAAAAACTAAATCAGGATTCATCGGTGAAAAGCACCAACGACCATTGATGAGGTTCCCAGTTCACATGTTCTCTAGAACATTGTAGTCTTTATCCATGATTTCCTCATCTTATAGCTAGAACCCAAGGTGGTATATGAGCATGAAGGTTGGCTCTGTGCAGTCTCCTTCTCACAATTTGGTTACTCACAAGCACTTGATTTTTAGACTGTAGTGTTTGGACCAATTGCATCGCTCTAACATTTGGTTGCCCCCTTGCAGCAATTTGCAAAAAACGGTATTTCTTGGTGTAATAATGCGGCTTGGTCCTGGATATTTCTCCGCCTCCTCCCTTGTAGAACGACCACAACCTTGAAATCACATTTTGTCGGGTGCATATTGCCGCGGTGACGTCACGTTGAAAAGCACGGTAATTATTAAATGCAACATATTTTTTTTTAAATTATTAATTACATTTGTCAGTGGATTAAATTTGTTTTAATAAAGTTGGTGATGATTTTAAATAAAAATAAAATTCTGGTCAAGTTTTTTTATTGTTACCTTTGTTAACAACATCGCCTTTAGAACTGGAACCGTAAGTGTTTTTTTCAGACGTCCACAATTTATTCAAAATAGAAAAATACTCTTTCTACTGGAGCATTTGTACCAGGTAGATATAAAATATATTCGATTAAAAAAAATATGTTGAAGATTGTTGACTTTGAATACTTCCATCGAACGAGTTACGGGACAATTTTGTGTCCCGGAGCTTTGTTTGGGGACAATAGGACAGGTGACCGAGAAAAGGGACAGTCCTGTTTAAAACGGGACGTATGGCCACTTTAGCTATAACCCGGCGACGGCTCCGTGGCGCACTGGCTTAGCAATCAGTTGTTGCGCTGGGGGCCGCGGGTTTGAATCCCGCACGGAACAAGTATTTGTATGGCCTACAAATAATTGTTCCGGGTCTGGATGTTTGTCCTTGTGCAATTTATGTTTGTAAACTGCCTCCACGACACAGGAAAAAATCCTAGTGTGGGGGTAACGTTTTTTTTTAAATTGAAATTGAAAGATTGAACCCTTATACTTCTTGTTGATTTTTGTATTACCTCCTTATGTATAAATAAATATAATTACGTATGTAGAAATAGTATTAGTGACACGTTAAAATTAACAATAATCAAAAACACATCTGCGAAACATCCTATTTATTTATTTATTCTTTTTTGCACCAAATATTTGTACAAAAGGCGAGCTATCTATATATTTACCTATAGTGAGTAGGTATCCTTTAAACTCATAATTTTCAATGCTTCATTTTTAATATATAATTAATTATAAAATTTCATAATTAGATAATATATGAGAATACACAATTCTAATATAATGCAACTAATATACCGAATAAAAAAAATAAAATACATTTATCGTTGTACGCTGTGTATTTCCATAATATAGTTTATTGATGTTGAAAAAAATGATACTACGTTCGTACAGTAGGTGGCGTCTTACATATTTCTTACGCGATATATTGTAGCGAGTCGGCGCGCCGGCCGAATGCTCAAGGTCGTTCGCATGGAGTAGCCCCTTAGGGTGGCTCTACATGTTGGTCAACATAGTGGCGAATGTTTTGGCCAATACCGATGGCCATCTAGTAGAGCGGGTGTCTGTGCTTCACTTGGTATGTATTGAAATGATGGCTCACAAGTTGGTGAGAGATCCGTGTGGTGTCGGTTTTTTACAAAAGATCACAGGGTTGTGGCAGAGTATTGGCCGCCGCGTCCACACGGGCGCGCGTTTAGTTTTCTACGAGCTTCCAGAGTGATCGCACATACCTGATTTAAATTTTATATTCACGCATCGTAACCAAAGTCTACAAAATGGCAGTAGCTGTCACCAATGAAGAAACTTTTCGCTTTATAGAGTTCTATCAAGCCGAAAATTATTTGCGGAACACAATAAATAAAATTAATTTTTTGTATTTCGTTTTGGTCAGCTTTTTCTTATACACATTCACGTAGTAGCGGTATGCTGTGGATAAATAAGCCACAGCAGCCGTTAGTGCCTCAATATTTATTTAAATTCGTCCGCACATTGGCCTGAATCAAAGCAAACTGAACGATCTTCCAACTTTTGGACGCCATCGCAAAGTCTTGGCTAATATCTTTGCCAACACATTCGCCACTATGTTCGCCAACGTGAAGAGCCGCCTTTACCTTTATATGTCAAATGATACATATCAATACATATTAAATTATTCAGTTGTAGATTTAAATTATGTCCGAGCTTATTTATATTGTGTTTGCGCATACATTCATGCATTATAATCCTCTTCTGTGCATATAGCTAGTCTCTGTTGAGATTGAAATTCAGTCTGGAGGACATTACGAGTATTAACTACTTAGAATCAATGGGGTATAGGACATTTTCATCAGTGGAGTGAAAAATAGTTTTATAATTGTCTTGGGAAGTGTATTTTTGTTTAAAATTTGTTAAAAATTTAAAATTGGAACACGACGTTGAAGAACTATATCTTATGAGAGAGAGCTCTAACTGTCTAGGTGTAAAAACATCGTTCAAAATTTCAAATTTCTTAGATCATGGGGCTGATTTACAAATTTTCAATGCCTTTCTAATGGCTTTAGCGATAGAAATTGCAAAATCGGCCAAGCACAGCTTGTTAAAAACTTATATGACTGATTCTTAACACAAAGTTGTTAAGTACATTCTGTTGTTCATACAGTAACTTCAACATTCATTTATATTAAAGATATTAAACTAATAACTAAAATCTGAGAAAAAATAAAGTAAAATGATGTCTAGTGAGTGTAGAAGTTTGAAGAGCAACTCCTGGCCCCCCTGAATTGCGTGCACTATTCCCAACGACGCACAGTGGGCAGAAACGATTAAAACTACGCGCGAGGCAGTAAATCTAATCCAAATGAAATCATTTTTTTTAAATACTCGTAATTATGTCTAATTTCTTGTAGCACTACGGAAATTCACTTTTTAGGGGTAGAAACCACTCCTATCAACGCCTAAGCAGGCTAAACCACCAGATTCTGGGTAAAACGAGTTCGATCAACTACATATTTATAAGGAAATATAGCATGCTTAAGGGTTGTTAGGGGTAGTTTATGAGGTTTTAAGGGTATGTGGGAATGAACTACATATTTATAAGGAAATATATATTACGAGAATTTAAAAACATTATTTCATTTGGAGTAGATTTACTGCCTCGCGCGTAGTTTTGATCGTTTCCGCCCACTGTGCGACGTCTCAACACCATTACACAGGGAAACTACTACTTTACAAAAAATATTTATAATTAATTGAATGTTCAAGTAATTGATATCTACATTCTGTAGCCGCTATTCCATTTCTGTAGAATTTAGGTAGATGAATAATATAATAAAAAATTACCGTAGTTTTCAGAATCGAGATTAGATCTAGTCAAAGAGTGACAGTGAGATAAATTATTGTTTTTTTTTTAAGTAAGAATCTAAAAAAGTAAAAGTATTTAAGAAAAAAAAATTACAGATACGCAAATGGATTGCGTGAATTATGAATTTTTATTATTTATTTAAATTATCACGTCCTGAACACTCAATTTTAAACAAAAACATCGTAGGTATACTGTGCATGTCTGTGTAATCAACTAATTTCAAAGAATTGTGAAGTTCACCACCAAGTTCTTATGTGAACGCGCAGAATTGTGCGGCGAACTTATTGCTCCATAAACCTCTCAGAAATGAGACGAGGCCTTTTACTAGGCGTGGAACGTATGTGGGCTGCAAATTTAACTACCTATGAAATACATTTTATTTATGATCATCTCCCATGATTGAAAGTGCAAGGGTGTACAAAGGCCTCTTCTAAGTCGACATTTATTAAGTGAAGTGTTCTCCACTACCTAATGGAAAGACAGGAATGGTAAACTTTACTGATCTTCATTTAATTATTTCTCAGGATCAGCCAGTGGGGTGCCGTGGCTGGGTCTGTTCATTTTTCGATGCTCGCCATGTTCGAGAAACTCTTACGGTAGCCTTTAGATCTGGACCACGACGAAGAAGGCTCAGGGTCTCGTTACTGATTGTAGTAGTATGTGTAATATTTGGGCCCCTTCATGGTAAGTTATTTTGAGTGTTTCTTGCTACCTAAACTATTAGTAATCTTTCAATTTATGCTCTAAGAAGGATATAATATGAGCAATAACTTCATCTAATAAATAAGTTGGCATTCACGTAATCTTTAGTCATATTAGTTTATGTATTAATTTTATAGCTAAATAAAGAAGTATTAATTACTAGTAAAATTGACATAAAAATATATTTTTTTTATAAAATAACTTTTAAATTGTATTACAATAAATATAGGTACTAATCTAATCTTTTAGTTATTGGTTTCGTTTTATTTTCTATACTATCAAAATATTGCTCTACACAACTGGAAAAATACGCATGACGCGTTTTTAATTCATGCTGATAAATAATAACTAATGTTACTTCTAATGTTTTTATAATGACTATTAATTGATTAATAATTTCCTTTCTTAACTATAAGGTTTGCTTATTATTGCTTTATAAATATATAAGATGATTTTTTATTTAAATTTGATTTTTAATTATTTTGTATTATTTGGTAATTCTTTCTTTTGACTTATTATTTTAACAAATGTAATTTTCATTTAGTTAGTTTCTTACAAAATATGCATATATAAAGAAAATATATTATTTATTATTTTATGTATTTAATATATTAAATATATTTAAACTACTTACTCAGCGATTAAAATTTTGTTTTTACAGTAATATAAATATTTGATAAATAATGAGCAATAGCGTTGGTTGTAAACATTTTTCCAATTTGATTAACCGATAGCACCGTTAATAGTGAACTCCTACAAGTACTAGGGAAATTTTTAATACATACGAATCTTCTTGGAAAGATGCAGATTATAGCAGTGAAAACCGCCTCCAAATTTGTTTAGTGGTTCTTGAAATTAGCACGGCCGTTTAGAAGGATAGACGCTCACAAAGGGCTTCCTTTTATATTATGTATAGATTTTATAGATGTGTCGTACAGGGAGTAAAATACATTAGATAACATAAACACTCAAGCTTGTCACCCAGATGGGCAGGCAGAGACTATGGACTGCCATTTGCCACGCTCCTGACACACATTTTCCACAAATTATTATTATAGTGCTTGTTTAAGTTCAACCTAGTTATATTTCTTGAACTATTTTTGATCTCAGTTTTAATAAGTTTTGCTTTAAAGTTGATTAATGTAATTAACTTAACTTAACTTAACTTATCTTCACGCACAATCCCTGACGGGGTAGCCAGAGAGAACAGATCGCCAAGTGTCACGATCCTTACAAACCTCTTTCGCTTCTTTCAGATTCATTATCTTCTTCATGCATGCACGTCTAGGTATCCGAGTACTTTTGACCCTACCCTCTTCGAGCAATTTGCTCACATGGTCTTCGAAAGTTAGTCTCGGTCTACCTATAAGGTGTCGACCTTTTAATATTAACTTTCGCGCTATATATTTTCTTCACCATTCGGTCTTCACTCATTCGCTCAACGTGCCCAAACCACCGAAGCACGCCCTTATCAATTTTTGTGATAAGGTCATCTTTCAAACCTGCCATATTGCGAATCTCTTCGTTTCGCTTTCGGTCGGCCATGGTAACGCCGCACATTTTACGAAGAGATCGCATCTCCACTGCATTCAACTTACTTTTATGCTTCTTCTGGCATACCCAGGTTTCGCTGCCATATAACAAAGTCGGTACCAACACTGCGTTATGTATTGCAAGGCGTGCACTCTTCGCTACGCCTTGCCTTTTGACTAACGCAGTCAGGGCACCATTGACTTTGTTCCCGGCAGCGACACGCCTGTCCACATCTAGATCACATCTTTCATCCCGGCTAAAAGTACTCCCCAAGTATACAATTTCATTTACCTGTTCTAGACATTCCTGATTTACCCATATTTCACACTTCGTTCTCTCTTCGTACCTTTCAAATACCAGAACCATAGTTTTATTAGCATTCAAACGGAGACCTTTAATTTCACATTCCTCTTTCATACACGTGACTAATGCCTGCAGTTCTGCCTCTGATGGTGCAATAAGCACTGCATCATCAGCATACAGCAGACAATTTACTTTAATGTCACCCAATTTCACACCCAAACAACTATCTTTCAGCTTCTGTAAACATCTGTCGAGATACAGTATGAACAGCCAGGAAGACATGACACAACCCTGCTTTACGCCCGTTTGGACGTTAAACATGGGTAACAGGTCATGTCCTACCCGCACACAGGCTTTACAGTCACAGTAAAGAGACTGCACAGCCCTTAGCAATCGACCATCCACACCATACCCCGGCAACAGTTCCCACATTTTTTTCCTTACAACCTTATCAAATGCTTTCTCAAGATCCATAAAAGCACAGAAAATCTTCTGGTTAGCAGCCAGAAGCTTCTCCGTGATCATGCGGAGAGAAAATATTTGATCCGTGCATCCTCTTCCAGGTCTAAATCCGCATTGTGCCTCCCATAGAAATCTTTCCGATTTCTCTTGCATCCTACGTGTCAAAACATTCGAGTAAACTTTACTTGCTAAACTGGTCAAGCTGATCGCCCGATAGCACCCGCAGTCAAAATGTGAACCTTTACCTTTATATAAAGACTTTATATGACTGCGGATCGCCAATCATCCGGGACATCCCCCGTCCGCCAGCACAAATTGCACAGCAGATGAAAGCTGTCCCAGACGCGAGGCCCACCATACTTGACCATTTCAGCAGTAACTCTGTCTAGTCCCGCAGCCTTATCACATTTCAAACTTCGAATCGCACGTTCAATCTCTTTCATACTGATGACCTCAGTGTCATCGAGGTCCGGGTCTGGCGTACCAGTCACGGCGTCATCCCCGGATCCCTCACTACGATCATCACACGCATACATTTCTCTATAAAATTCGCTCCATCGCTGCATGACGTCCGATTTTTCTGAGAGGACGTCATTAGTTCTCGAAAGCACTTTGTTCATTCTTAAGGCCGTCGCACCACTTCGGGTCCTTCCAACCTCTTTCCAGAAGAGTTTGGAGTTCTCCTTAAAGTTGTGCGACAACCTTTCGTCCGCTTCCATTCTACACCTTTCACGCACTTCCTCAATCAGTGCTTTCGTGTGAACTTTCTGCAGCCTATATCTTTCTTTCATCTTCTCTCTCATATCCTTATCATTACTAGAGGCCAAGTAGTCTAACCAAGCTTTCTTCTTCTTCTTTACAGCTTCTTTCACTTCATCATTCCACCATGCATCTCTTCTTTTACTACTGCCTCTTTTTATTGTTCCACACACTTCTTCCGCTGCACTTACCATTCCATCCCTAAGGTTCTGCCAAGTTCTTTCTACACATTCTTTTCTGCCATCGATGTTGTCAAGCTTTTCGGCTACCCTCGCATGATATTTGTCCCTAGTATCCGCTTCCTGAAGCTTCCAGCTTCGGATGCGACAGACCGACTGTGGTTCTGTTACTGCCGTCCGGTAGCGCCAACCCGCGAACAGACCCCTAAATCTAGTAATCACTAGATAGTGATCCGTTCCCAGGTCAGCACCGCTGAACACTCGCGTATCCATCACCTGTTTTCGCAGTCGGTCATCCACCAGGAACAAATCAATCATACTTCTCTCATTCTTTCGTTCTCTAGTATACATATGGATTTTCTTGTGAATAAACATAGTGTTTGTCACAAGAAGACCCTTTTACTTGCATACCGCCAGTATAAGCTTGCCAGCATCATTAACCCTTTTATCGCCAAACTTTCCAAGTACCGACTCGTACCCTGGTCGAGCGGTACCAACCCATGCATTCAAATCACCAAATCACCACATACAACAATTCTTTCGTTTCCCCTAGCCAAATCTAGAACTTCTCTTACATTCTCCGAAAACTCCTCCAGCTCAGCCCTGGACGACGAAGCTACCGGCGCATAAACAGCCAAAAGGAATAACTTCGTCAGTCCCAATTTAAAGCGAACCCAGAGAAGTCTTGAGTTCACAAACTTATATTCAGTCATATCATCTACCAACCGAGAAGACAGCAGCACCCCCACTCCCTGGCAAGCGTTCTCGCTCTCCGGGACTCCGGACCATAGAGCAAACGCCCCGCCAGGGAGCTCTTCAGTACCACTGCCCTTCCGTTTGGTCTCCGACATACACACGACATCTAATTCTCTTTCTTTCATTATTTCGATCAACTCATTCGTCTTATCTCTCATGCCTCCTCTAACATTCCACGTGCCAACTCTGCACTTCGTCCTCCACCTTCCGCCGTGTCGGGCTGTGCGTGACGGGTGGCGGTCCCCATTGCCGCTTTGCGCGCTGCATTCCACACTAACGGGGACGAGCTGGTGTGCGTTGCCTTGGGGGGACGCCCTAACCCTCGTTGACATGGGTGCGCAGCTGAGTAGAATTGCAGCCCTGAAAAGGGCTGGCAGGGGTCGCGACGAGCACGCTTCTACAATGACAATTAAAAAACATATAGATATTTATTATTAAAAGTTACAAGTCTTTTCTAGATATGTGTGGTAAAACATTGTCTTTTTGTTTTTAATATACAAACACAGTGGACAGACCATTAAGCTAGTTTAATGACACTTTAAGTATCATATCCATTCCAAATAAGAACGAAATAATTATTGTATTAAGTACAAACTATAATGTACATATTTTGTTTTGTGCAGGTGAGATGAACGTCCTGTATCTCTTCATGCGGTATAGATTCAACTGGGATGAGGTGCAATTCAGCATGTTCTGTACCTATAGTATTATCACCAACTTAGTAGGTACGTAGAACAATCTGCCTAAACAGCTTTATATATTATGTAACTAGTCTTGTCATAAATAATTTTATAGGTGGAAGATAATCTTTTTTTTTCTGTATTCAAATTTGGCATGTTTCCATTATGTCAGAACACTTTAATCGATTAACCGCCATTTTGCATATTATATATCACCGTAGTTGAAATTAAATTTATGTAGTGGGACGTTAAAGAAAACAGAATTGCAGTGAGCGCTTTGTACAAAGTGGGTATGAAGCTTTAAAGCGGGTATGTTTGTGAAACGTACTATCTACGTGTACATATATAATGATTGCATCGTAAATACCTTAAAACATCGTAGCAATCTCATGCTCTTAGGACCGGATGGGCTGAGAACGAACTCAACTATTTATATCCTAAAGATAAAAAAAATATTATTGTGGAAAATGAAGATTCCCACTAGCGCGAACTATTAAAAAAGTCCTGAACGTAGCTGCTTACCGTCGATACACAGGTCATATCGTAAATTAGTCACAGCAGCTTGACTAATAAATCGATCAAAATGCTTGCCATCTCGATTCTACATTTTTGTAAAAAGATATTATAAACCGGCTCAAGTTCATCAAGATTAGTCGTGTAGTGAATGAAGCCTCTCAGCGATATGTTTTCAAAAATATACCGTGGAAATCTCAGCACTACTCCTGGTCAGGTATGAACAACTCAAATAGGCTCGATAACAACGTTTAAGACTTCATCGAGCGGAAGTCTGGCCCTTGTCTAGTCCAGAGTTGGTCTACAAATTGCGGTTAGTATTAAAGGACATGGCTGTTTCAAAATGTTAAGTCGGACATAGAGATCTCTCAAGAAATCTTTAGAGCCAGCAGTGACTAAATTGACCGTGCGATTCATAGACACAGTTAAATACATTCACAGTTAAATACCTGTATCAAAGCCTTGTAATGCCTTATATTAGTCAACCTTGAATAAAATTGTATTTAATTAATCGCTTAGATTTCGATGAATATCAAATTTACATATCAAATTTATTACATTTTGTTTTGAAAAATCTATTCATTTTAAGGTGTAACACAACTAATTGACATCTGTGTGTGTGTGTGTGTGTGTGTGTGTGTGTGTGTGTGTGTGTGTGTGTGTGTGTGTGTGTGTGTGTTGTTTGTTTGTGTGTATGTGTGTGTGTATGTGTGTGTGTGAGAGAGAGTGTATGTGTGTGTGTGAGAGTGTATGTAGTATTTATGTAGTTTAATGTCCTGTTGTGCAGTTATTAGGGAATTAAAAAAACATGCGAGGGAGATGGATATTATTCCATGTCGGTTCCTTATAGCCACCAAGGCCGTCTACAATACGTCAGAATGGGCCGTGAGGGAAAATACTTTTTCTCGCCTAGCCCCCACCCGCCAAATTCCTTAAGTACCTTCCGATAAGGAACTTCGTTTCAAAATCTGAAATTAGAGGTAGCCTAGTCAATCGGTACTTGATTAGACAATACATTAATGTAATTACATTTATTTATTCACAAACCTTTGATGTAAAATCTTGATACAAATATACGATAACAAGATAATTTATTACAAAAATGTACAATGTTTGCTATAATAATAGAAACAAATATGTAATGGCTAATTAATATTTATTAAATAAAACCAGTATCGGAATCCTCAGCGTTGACACATCGGATGACGTACAGTTCCGCGATAACAATGGCTAAATTGGTCTCTAAAAAGCTTGGCGTGCTCAGCGGGGCGGGACAGTATTTCATGCTGGAACATTGCCTGCAATTTTACAGGGCGCAATTTCGACCTCACTTGGAATACTAATCTTATCTCTGGGCTGAGACACCCTAGTGCCGATTCCTTAAATTTGATCGCATCCAGTGAAGAGCGGCTCGAATTATGGACGACCAAGCTTTTTCTAATCGGTTCAATTCAGTAGCGCTGTGAAGAGATGTTCCATCCCTTTGAATTTTCTAACACACTAAACACGCTTAGAGGAATTGTTCGGATTAATTCCAGACGCCAAACTACATCAACGCACATCGTGACAAAATTCACGATACCATCCACAACACATGCTTCAAGTTGTAGCCAAGTATATCAGTGACACCTTTGACATATGGAATTACAGCAGGCACACGCTCGACTGTGGCCGGTTTCACTCGATCACTGTGACGTAGAGACGGGGGGCCCGAAGCTTGTTATCGTACAAAACTTGTTTGACGTGTTGGAGCTAGGCGACCAGGTGTTTACTGTCACCGTGCATTACTATGGGAAAATCATTGTTTCAGAGAGCACGAAGGATGTCTATTTCTCTGGCACGCTCTATAAGCTTAAGGGTTTTATGGATTTAATATATTGGATGTTGTTAGATTCAGCTTAGTTGTGGAAGTGTTATAGCGTATATATTTTTTCTCTTTTGAGTAAACTGTTTAAGCATTCGAGTTTTTAAATGACTCTTTTAACAATTAGGCTTGATCTGTCATCAGATTCTAGTTATTCATCAACAAAATAACTTGAATATAAAATTGAAACAATGAATACCACTTTAATATTTAATTTGTTTTTTATGTATTTAATGCTATGAATAACTGTTAATTGATGATGGGAAAATCAACCTTAAGGTAAGTCATAATTTATTTGGGCGAATTAGACTGTATTAAAGAATTTCTTTGAATATTCATGTAAATCATACAAAAGGATACTCATTATTCTCAGCTTTGATTTCTATTTACTCTAGAATAAGAATTATTCTACTTTAGTGAAACCTTAGAAACTAAAAGATAAGTAATGTAAATTGTACTTTCAATTTAATCTACTAAGGTTCTTATAACAAATTTAACCAAAGTCGATTAACTTTGACAGATGAATAAAAAAGCATACAGGATTTTAGTCTCATACATTGAGCAGTTAAGTTTAACTGGGCATTTAAGCTTTTGGCTGACCCTCCTTACAGTCCTAATTTGGCACTGCCTATTTTTTGTTTCCTAAAATAAAAATAAAAAAGCTATAAAAGATAAACAGGTTTGATGATTTAACAACATTCGATCTGGATTCGAAAAGTTGTCTGAACGTTAAATAAAACTTTGTATAAATGCTTCGTATAAATAATAAACGATAAAATCCTTAACCATAAAACTTTTTTCAATTTCGCAAATGTTTCTGAGTGTTTCCTTTCATTTCATACTCGCGTTGTTAGCCAATTGTGCATTCATCAAGACACATCAGACATCATAGGCACGTCCGTTTTATTCTGTTTGAATGTAATTTATTTAACGTTTCTACCTGTTGGCAGGTTTCTTTTTGTCTAATTTTAGGAAATTTCCCATTAACCGAATTATCTGAACAGTTAAGTACTTATGAGGTAAGAGCCTCCACTACTTGTCTATATTTATTATGAATGTCATTTAAATTTAATATAAAAGTAATCTCTACTTTATTTTCTTCTTTATTATAATTCAAATATCTTAAATAGAGAGAATTAACCTTACTCGTATTACCTTACTAATAAGCCGTGTAGTGGCGGTTAGAATATATTTTAAACTTCCCATGGGTGTCACAAGAGGCGACAGTGGGAAACAGGCAGGAGATGGACAGCAGCATCTTCCTGATAACAGAAATAGTAAAAAAAACTGCGGTTGCCAACTCGTCCGCCAAGCGTGGCAGCCCCGCTATTCCTGGCTGCAGTGGCGACTATACTAACGGCGGGGTAGGGGGTGCCTAGAATCATCGGTGAAGGATCCGTTAACACCTAAGTCGACTCGACCTGGCAACATACAGCGCACGCACCCTGAGGACTGGCAAGAAGATCCTAAGGTGGAAGAAGGTATAGGCAAGTTGCGCTGGGATATTATTGGATTATCTGAGGTCCGAAGACAGGGGGAAGAAACGGTAATATTCGAATCCGGCAACTTGTTCTTCACCGGGAGGGCGACCATCTGTCCCAAGGCGGTGTAGGATTTATCGTCCACAAGTCTCTCGTTAACAACTATCTAAAGCCATGCATTCCTCCAAAACCCACTATATGGTGTTAATCGAAGACTTCAACGCAAAACTAGGCACAAGAGAGAACGGCGACCTGAAAGTAGAGATATTTGGAATAGGGTAACGGAACCCAAGGGATCCGGTGCTGGTCGACTTCATGGAAAAAGAGTCATCTTTATGATGAACTCTTTCTTTTAGAAGCAGCCCCATAAGTAGTGGAGCCCTACGGTGCGATAAAAATGAGATTGACTTCATTATGACGACTAGACGGCAACTGTTCAGTGATGTCTCAGTGATCGCGAGGGTGAAAACTGGTAGCAATAACCGAATGGTCAGAGGCACACTGAACCCATAAGTTAAGTTGGAGAGGTCTTGTATAATGATGTAAACGCTCCGTCCCCCTCATGTTCTAATCTAAAGTCCCAAAACCTTTCAGCCCGAGTTACAAAACCGTTTTCAGTGCCTAAAAGAATGTAATGCAATGGACGTTATGCATATGACTGCAATGCAGGCTCGTAAAAACTGTCCATTCGGTCGAAGCTAAGTTCTGTAAGACCCGCTGCAGAAGAATACAAAAATTCTCCGATCACACTCTTAATCTCATGGCTGTTAGACGGGAAATAAAGCTGCAGTAGTCAGCAGATTGGACAGAATACAGAGAACTGAACAGACAGATGTCCAATCCAAATGCATGCGACGGGACTTACGCAACTTCAATGCAGCTCGAATTGAAGAAGCGATCGAGCAGAATCCAGGCTCCATCCAACTGTCAAAGCTGAAAACCGAGTGTGGCAGCATCGTTTCCGGGACACCTGAGATTTTGAGTGAGATTGGGAGGTTCTATGGGCAGCTATACACGTCATCGTTGGAGCCACACCCAAGTGTGAGTAACAATCCAAGAGCAAGTGTTATCCGACACTATTCCGTTGATATTCCGCAACTCAGTCTGAGCAAGATTACAAGCTCTCCAGCACCTTAAAAACGGTAAGTCCGCAGTTGTGGATGGAATAACAGCGGAGCTTCTGAAAG